ACGAGACTGTATTTAGAAGTAAACATTCTCTGTTGCAAAGTGACAGGACTTCATCTAAAGGATCAGGTTACGTGTAAGTTGGGAGCAAGGCGGAATTCAACCACGTTGTTCATCGATACAATATCCAGGTGTAACCTGTTGGAGATAGAACGGAGGCGAGCAGTTTGCTTCACAGGACCTCAGAGCTAATATTGATTCCGCGCCCACTACACGATCTGCATTATTTCTCACGGACTCCTCGGTAGCCTGTGGGCGGACACGCTTGGCTTGTTGCTTGATTAAGGACCTCTGTGCCTGGCTTTTAGTGAAAATATGGCACGGCTGGTTATCAGTAGTATTATGATTGCATTATGCATTCTACAAATTCAGTTCTCATTTAATAGAAGGGGCATTCAGATCATCAAATCTCTTATAAAAACTGACACATTACTAAATAGTGTAAATTTCGCTGATCCCACTTTCCAGGCCATCTGTGTAAAATAGCCATGAGTCTAAACAAAGTGCGGAATAGGGAATCCCTGACGGCCATGTACTGTAAAATATGTTTAATAGACAATCAATCAACACTCTTAGTACAAGATTTGAATTTTTAAAATATCGCTTCATTTTCTAACGATGTGAATATAAAATTGTGTTCAACTAAAAATTGATCTTCAAAAAAAAGGAAAAATAACACCTGTTTACATTTTTGCCTAATCTCTTTTGTTAATCTGTTTTGTTTGAAATTGTAAGCATTTTCTTTACAAAAGTAGCGTTGCAAAAATCTCATTTGATAGATATTCAGTTTGTTCAAGCGCTGAAATGGTTCCCACTGGTTACGAAATGTGCTACAAGGAGTTGTTCTTGAAATCAATCCTTGCATTCTTGAAATATTCTATGATGCACACAGAAAGCATAGTTCTTAACGGGGGCTTGAAGAACAAGTGTGGAGAAAATATAATTTCACATAAGTTTCCTCTGAGATTCGTGTGTCTGAATAGGTTCTTGACTCTCTGTTTGACTCAACAATTAAATTGGCGTTCCAACAGTTCCAACACAAATTGCCAAGAAATTTGTAGAGAGAACCGGAATAACGAAAGGTGACAGCGATCCTGTAACCAATATTTGGCGCCATTTGGTCACGTGGGATTTGTTTCCAAACATAAACACTGCGTTGTCTGTTTTTCCACACGGTTCTAAGAAAATGTTTAAAAAACAACCGCCAATGTCCGTTCCCGTGGCCATCTTTAGACGCGGCAAGATTCTCGTTTCAAGCATAAATGCCTTAACTATATGTAAACATATTTATACTTATTTCATAAAATTAATTCATACATTTACGTAAAATTAATTTTAAAGTTGAAAATCGAATTTAACTCTTTCTTCTCAGGGTTTAACACAGAAACGCAACAAACATATTTTTTTTTTTTTTTTCAAAGGATTATTTCTGAATAAAATTACTTACTGATTTCGAAGTCCCGTTCAGGATTGGTGATAAATGAGAACTTCTCGTTCCATTCAGGGTTATTATTGTTTTTGATGACTCGTGTCTTCTTCCTCCCATTTGGCGTGCTGGGAATCCAAAACACTAAGTATGGATCTGGTCTGTCAACTGACGAAACACACGCGAGTCAATAACATTGTATTACCTCGTCCAAAGTATAGGAGTTTCTAATCATGGCTTGTTTTATAGATTGCACACTAGTTATCAGGACATAAATAATTCTCTCTAATGCTACACTGTTATAACTTTAAAATATTTTATTTTACTCTCAACTGATATTTAAATTATATATTATAACTATAACTTACATAGATTTCCCAGCCATCCTTTGCTAATGTCGTATCCTTTTTCAACATGAACATGTAGAATATGGCACCTTACATCTTCATGCTGGAATTGAACATAGTGCTAAATTTAATACAGTTGTAAGCAAAGTGGTATTAATTTTAAAAAATTAACCTACTTTATTCTTCATCATTATTTTTAATGAGCTAATTTAATATTCGCAGTGGCTCAGATATCAGTGGGAGTGCACATTATACTCAGTCAATGTTGATTAAATCCTGCGGATTCAGTGTGTTATGGCACAGTACATAATGTATGACATGGTTAAAGCACTAATATTTTCGAAATAATTTTTTACGGAAATTCACATTTCTATAGTAAACAAGCGCACAAGCATTGCATCCCATAACGGTTGAATTAAGTATTTTAATTCTAAAACTATTTACAATAATTGATAAATGTATCGAGTAGGTATTTCCAGAAAATTAAAAAGCGATAATATTACATGTAGTAAATAAGCGCTGCTGATGACTGTTCCGCAAGACATCGTGAAAGTAAGAAAATGAAATTATTTTTATTTTATTTACAATATTCTGGGGATTACTGATACTGAACTTCATGCAACAGTTTAAATTGAAGAATGCCGCTAACAATTACTGTAACCACCCACAAAAACTAAAATTTCATGCAAAAATATTTATTTCATTTACGTCTTACAATTTGTTGAAAAGTGTAATTTAAGTTTTAACTAACTGCTAAATTTGCCACCAAATTTAGACTAAAATCAGTGTTTACAGGTGAAGAGTTACTGAATTCCTAAACGTAAAATTTTTTCGTTGTCAGTTCAGCGAAATCGTGAGTTGTTACGAACGCTGACAAACACAAACACTCAAATAGGAATTTGCATTCAAAAGCTTTAGTTTTCAAATTAAAGTTTGCTAAAGTAAGAAATCTTATGTTAAAATAGCAAAATATTATTTTTTGTTTTGTTTTCTGGACGCAACCAACTTATCCTTATTACTTACAGATGCCTTTTCAGTATTTTCCTCACTTGTTTTAGATCGTAAATGATTATGAAAACACCACAATAATTCTTGGTCATGTGTTACCTCTCTTATGACATTACACAGCGAATTGTCTCTCATGACTTTAAAAAAAAAAAAAAAAAAAAAAAAAAAAAAAAAAAAAAAAAAAAAAAAAAAAACATTAATTTTTTTTCCATTATTAGCATTTGCGAACGTGTGATTATATTACTAAAATTGTAGGTGTAATTTATATACTTGATACGACTAGATTATATGGCAAGGATCTTACCTCAAAAACTTGGTAATCGTCTGATCTGAAACAAAACAGAAAAACGTGCATATTTAAGTCATTCAACTAGGAAGTAATATCTGCACTTTGACTAAAGGTACCTGCATTACATTATTGTATGCACACATAGAAACATTGTTGTTAGTCAAACACGATGTTTCGTAAGTAGTTGTGGAAGTAAGAACTCTTCGTAGAGCCAGTAGTAAAATTAATTCACAATTAAAATAAATAATTTAAAATTATATATCTATGTGTGTGTAATTTATTACCGGTTAACGATTGAAAAATCAGCTATGGCGTCCAGCAAAAATAGTCATTGAGAGCCACGGAGGTATCTCGCAGCTTGCGAATTCCCGCATTATTAAATTAACATAATTTGATATATTTAGATAGGATTTGTTTTATTGACTACGTATTTGAGTTAACAAAAATATCACATACAGCAAATACGAAATCGGTACATACACAATAATTATAGTAATAACATATATAAAAAAATTATATAAATCAACAACAAATTTCGTGAGAACAATAGTTTATTAATTTTGACCGGATTACATCTACTTGATAGCTCCTACTTAAGAATTATAATCAAACAAACTTTTTTCCTTCAAGTTATACAAACCTCAGTAGCCTACGTATTGTAGAGCTATCAATAACATTATTTTGTTAATTTTGAAATAATTATTTAGGTGTTTATTGATTTTATGGTTTGTATTCCTAATTTATTGCCAAAAGTTGACCATTTTAAATATTTAAAAAATCGTACACAGTATAAATAATAACAAAATGTATTATGTAGTTCAAATTCTGTTATTACTTACATGTTTCAGTAATTCGCGTACTGATAGACTGAGAACCTGTAAACTCACTGAGTAAAAAAAGAAATACTTTATTTGAGAGAAAATTTCCCACGATTTTAACAATATGAACAATTCCCTGCGTGAGTATGTGTTGATTTAAAATAAATAAAAAACAGTAAATATGTAAGCGTTTGAGGCAGTTATTGAAGAGGCGTTTTAAGACAGTAAGCATAACATGCTCAGCTATGATATGTTATCACTCAGGATATCCAGCATTGTGTATTCAGACAGAGTCGTCCAGAAACTTTGTTTCTTGCTCCCCCCCCCCCCCCCGGGTCCGTCCTCCCCTTATCCATCCCGAACCCTCTTTCAAGCCTGTCTCTTTCACGCCATGTTTCTCGAGTTGTACTCCCGACTACGGGTAAAGGGTATTCTCTTTAGTAAGCAGTTTGCAGTGTCTTTAAAATACGTTCGCTTCAGAGAAGCTCCTGCGCACTTTGCTGCACGCCAACACAGAAAGGAGTAACATAACTTTAAACTTAATATATTTCAAGCCATATGCAATTTTGGTTTGACGGAAATAAGCATTGCAGGGAGATGTTCCCGAACAAACTGCGTTTGAGGAATTTATATCCACCTGGTTAACTGTGGCCACTCATAAAACTTCTTTGAAGCATCCACGTGAGTTCGGTTAAAGTTAGAGGAATGTATGGTACACTGGTGGGCGTGGATGTCGAACCTTGGCTGAGGAGGACACGTACGTGTTTTTCAGAATAGTGTTATCGAAGAAAGATAATCTCTTGTTGCAGACAAATTATTTCGAATAAATATTTTTTCCTGCATAGTTTTCTACTTTATAAATACATTGTAATTGCGGACATTTTTTGGAATATTTCATACCTTTGGCTATAGTGTATAAAGGTGGACAAAAAGTTTCAAAGTAGAAATGAAAAAAAAAAAAAAGTATAATTAAATATGTAATATTAGACACAATATGCAAGCACTTATCTTTTTTTTTTTAGCAATTGAGTAGATAGATATGTTTCATTTTATGTAAGATTAGTGGCTATGGATTTGGCACGACAGATACTACGGCAATAAAAAAATTTGAAGAGTGCACGACTCGGGAATCGAACCCGGGTGGCAAGAACGGGAATCTTGCATGAAACCACTACAACAGCAGTGTTTTCAAAACAAAGCCTTAGAAATTCTTTTTAGACAACTTGCATCTAACTAGTTATTCCTTTGCACTTATAAGGCTTCATTTTCTGATGTTTAAAATATAATACTATAATCCATTCACGGTTACTTCGCATTTTTCTGAAGCCCTGCTGAAGTTCTACTTCCAGTATATTCCTCCGCCTTGTGCAAACTAAGCTGAACTAAGTCTACAGAAAAATACACTCAAGGACAACGCACTGAACTCGTGCGTACTCAGTTGTAATAATATTTTGCATGAGAACTATTTCTCACTAGGCATGAACCACACACGTGTTTTCTCACTGCTTTAATTCGTATTTATTATGGATTAAATATTTTAATTTTTAAAGCAAATAATTCAATTTAACGAAAAGTAAGTTTTTTTTTTTTCCTCCAGATGTATAAAATGCTTGTGATACATGGCATATTTAGGAAATAACTAAACACGTTATACATGAGGTGATTTTTCAAAGGTTTGATTTTAAATATGTGAAGAAACCGTGAATAGACTATAGTATAGTTTGCAGATGTAAAATTCTACATAACTTATTCATCCGGGCTTCCGGGAGGGGAAGGGGCACATGTGACGCCCCAAAATATTTTTAGCTGAAGGGGTGAAGAGTTCAATTATTCCCCTCCCTCTGGCTAAAACATGTACGTCACGATTCTGTTTCAGAAAAAAGAAGGAAAGCGTTTGTAATCTTCTGATAATGGTTTAGACTGAAATATAATAGAAACGCCAAAAATAAAAAATTACTTAACCAAGTATATATGTGTCGCATAGATTGTATTGATGAGCCAGGCACGTTTGAATATTGTACGTGTATTAAAACTAAAAATAGATACTAATTATACGGCTTTGAAATACAGACGTCTGACATTTTTCTTGCTATTCGTCAGAAACCTATTTCCTCGGCTATATTTCGACATAGTTAATTATTGAGGTTTTTTTTTGTTAAGGTATTTGAATTATAATTAATCCCAAACTATTATAAAAAAATTACAGTATATTTCCTCTTCTTTTCGAAACCAAATGTGGACGTTCGTTTTTGACCATGAGAGAGGGGGAGGTTTGAATAATCCCTCCCCCTTTCGCAATAAAATCAAAATATTTCGGGGAGCGACATGTCCCTTACTTCCCGTAGGTCTGGTACACTTGCGTGAAAAAGTATGCATTTTAGCTTCACAATGTTATACTGTGTCACTGAATACGCTCTTAGCAATCATGACGCTGAAGAAATACTTGAAGAAATATCGCAAACCATAACTGTATAACAGTACATCTGCAAACTATATTGTTATAATATTTTAAACGTCATTAAGTGAAGCGCTTTAAAGAGGGATGATTCAAGTTGATAAACCTTTCAAGGCAGTTTCATTCAAGATGCACAGCTGATGTAGCGGTATCATGCAAGATTCCCAATCTTGCGACCCGGGTTCGATTCCCGGCTGGTGCAATGGTCACATACTCCTTGACATACCGTCTTGTTGAGTCTGTAGTCATGGCTCTCAAATTAAATGAAACGTGTTTTTCCGCCTCCATTCCTAAGAAAATAAGTAAGTACTTACCTAAGGGCGCAAAATGAAATCCTGTTGAAATTTGATTTGAGCTGTTGACGTTTTTTGCGTATGAGTGAATAGCGTGTCTGTATGTCTTTGTTACTTTAATTAGTTTTACAGGGGAGAATTTCTTATAATGCTTCATGCATATTTTCATTCTGTGGGTGAGTTAAGGGTTATCTCGGCAATTCAAGTATATAATCTTGTAATTTAAATTATGACATCGGAAATGTAATAATATTTTCTCCGTGTACAAAGAGTCCCATAGCAGCATAGTAGCTCAGATGGAGCACAAATAAAAATATAATTGATTAATTTTACATTATAAAAATTAGCTTAGAAAAATCACTTCGGGGGCCTGAGAGGCGTGTTAAATTTATATAATTATGATAGATCAAGCACTCGTGTTCTAAATGATGGTCATACAAATGTTTTAAGTCACACATCATACCTCCAGAACATCATACAGGTTTGATCTATAGTTTGCAGACGCTAATTAAGGTGCTTATTTGATTTACAACCAACTCGCCCAACTTTTTGCAGTCACTTTTTGCGGTTGCACTTTAACGCAACTCTTACAGTCACTGTTTTGCGGCTGTGCTCGAACCGGCAGCTGGTGTTTTGGATCAGGAAAACAAACGGTAATTTTTTCTGATGGGTTTCTGATGGTTTGGGCATTCAATTGGCTGTTGGTTTTCTGATAACTGGGGGCTGTGCTCGAACCGGCATCTCTATACTGCTATTATGCTATTATATATATATATATATATATATATATATATATATATATATATATATATCACTAACGCCGTGAATTAATAAAAAATAACAATTTCTAGAAATTTTGTGATATATATATATATATATATATATATATATATATATATATATATATATATATATATATATATATATATATATATATCACAAAATTTCTAGAAATTGTTATTTTTTATTAATTCACGGCGTTAGTTTAACTTGATGCAGGAATGCATAACTGTACACTAGCAGTCCTAAAATATTATATTAATGGCATGCCAAAATTTTTTCTTAAATTTTGCAAAATATGAAATGAAAATCGTCAGTAAATTTGCTGTCATTGTTTTTCACTTTTTTGTGGAACGGCAACTGCGTCTCGTCGCAACTGCGTCAGTAGCAACAATTCTGTTTGTAAATCTGACAGCTGACAACAGACGGTTTTTTTTTTTTTTTAATTGCATACAGAGAATTATTTACTCGCGGGGGCTGTGCTGTTAGCACGCTCGCCTCCCACCAAGACGAGCCGGGTTCAATCCCCGTCCGGGTCAACGGATTTTCGCAAGTGGGAATCGTGCCGGACGATACCGTTAGTGAGCGGGTTTTCTCGGGGATCTCCCGTTTCCCCCACCACTTTCATTCCGGTGCTGCTCCATACTCGCCTCTATCACCCTCCTCGGCCTTCAAGACCTTGCTCTTAAGACCCGACCAAATCTCTTCACTCACTTTACTCGCGACTATTCTTGAACGGCTCCTACATCTCACGCATCTGCTTCGAGTAGTAAACCTTCCTGTAGATATTCTATCCGTACTCAGCTCACGACCCGGTGGTATGCAGATCTTTCTGGCTTTACGTAGTGCACACTAACACTTAGGAAGTTAACGGGTGGTTCGGATTTCGTTCTTTGTAGTTAGTACTTTGTCATGTTTAAGCTGTAACACACCTTGACGTTCAACTGTCTACAACACGTCTTCACAGATAAGCAAATGTGGGATGATAGGTACTTATAGTGTTCCCTTCCCGACTACACACGCAACCGAATTGAAAGCTTCAAACTTAAAGTGGTCGCTCAGAAGACTTCATACTCCCTACTATACCATAATACTTCCAGTGTATTCCTACAACTGAGCAAACGATGTCCCTCAAAATCGTCTTCCTTCCTGAGAAGCGACCGAGTTCTCAGTCCACCGTTTATTTGTAAGATAATATGCATCACAGTTGAAATAATTTCTACTGGTGGTTCATTCTGTATATTATATGTTCAAGTGTAGGAATACTTATAACACGAAAAAATGGACATGCGTGGTAATAAAATTACATATTTAAAAAATTAATAATAATCATTGCTATACTCCACCAAAAATGTAATAAATTTGCCACATTCCTGGCACAACCGATGTATAGCACCATTTTTACTGGCTGTTTGTCGTTAACTTATTAAAATAACATAGGCAAATGTGAGTACTTACTGTGATATCAAGCAGCTACCTGTAGGACCTTCCTGGGTACAGGGCATTGTATTCCCTTACACGCGCCCAAAAAATATTAAGCGAAGCGACACAAACTCGTAGAGAGCTTGGGCACGGGGCAGTAGATGTCAGCACAGTCAAGTGCACTGGCTGCTATCTCACCGACGATTGTCGGTGGTGGGTACAATCCGACTAGAAGCAAAATGATACTGACACGCTTCCAGGTGGATGTTAGGAATCGCAATGAAGCAGCGAGCGGCCCGGATATGGATTATTCCATGACGCGACGTCTTGCCTGGCTGGTATTCCCGCACGGTAGACCAGCCGGGGCGCGCATTGTCCAGGCAGTGGGACCACGAGGTTGGGAGACGACGTGTAGAGCTTCAGCTCGGCTCTGAACATCCCCGGGAAGCTGTGGGCACGTCATGTCCGGTCGCCGCCGCGGGGAGGAAGATATCCGGCGGGGAAGCAAGCGTGACCTTATTCCAGGAGGAACGTGACGGGATATATCCGCCTCCAGGCGCGACACACTACAACTCGCGAGTAGCTGGCGCCGTCTCGGGGTAGTGTGTTCCACACATCACACCCGGAGCTCAGCACTCGTCAGTGCGACCCAGACAGGATCAGTGGACTACTAAGGCCGACAATGACAAGCCAGTCCCGCTTAGGGTATATACGGAACTCAAAAGTAGTAACATTACAATTTTGCAATCGGAAAATATACAGCCAAGTTCAGTTGGGCCGTATATCACAGTTTTGACGCGAATACGTCTTTAAATTTGCGACCATAGCGGGAGGCAATCCAGAAAATCCGATGATATCAAACTCGGGGGGATACAGTTTGGCATTGCAGCTCCGAATCTATCGTCTACATTCAAAAATCAATTACACCACTCGATTGCCAAATGATCAAAGAATATGTTACGTTGAGTGAGGACTGCGTGGCAACGGGCGGGGGGGGGGGGAGGGCGGTTCTCATAACTTCCGCGTAGTAAACTTTGACAATGAGAAGCTACGACGCTCGTTTTAAGTTTCAATCGACAGCTCTCGTCCAGATCAATCAACTGAGTGTGTAAAAACATTTGTGTGGCGCGGTTATAGTGAAACTGTATGCATTTAATGTAAAAAATTAAGAAAACATAACATAACTTCGGGCTGCACTCGTCAAAAGCCAAGTCGAAATACAGAAATCGTATATGGTTGGAAAGAGCATCTTAAAAGCAATCCAGTGATACCCATAAAACCCCATATGATCGAGTGAAAACATAACATAACTTCGGGCTGCACTCGTCAAAAGCCAAGTCGAAATACAGAAATCGTATATGGTTGGAAAGAGCATCTTAAAAGCAATCCAGTGATATCCATAAAACCCCATATGATCGAGTGAAAACATAACATAACTTCGGGCTGCACTCGTCAAAAGCCAAGTCGAAATACAGAAATCGTATATGGTTGGAAAGAGCATCTTAAAAGCAATCCAGTAATATCCATAAAACCCCATAAGATCGAGTGAAGCGGTGCTGGGAACGTAAAATAAACATCAAGGCGTCCGAGCGTATCAATGTAGACATATTAACGCAAAACAAACGGCCGTGTCCCCAACACAGCCAAACCCAATTTTTATGTAGCCTGTCCTGTTATTAGTTAGGTAGAGTCTAACGTGTCGTTGACAGCGAGATCATTAGAGACGGAGCAAGTTATTCAGACACGCAGAAGAGGGGAGGAATCAGCCAGGTTTGTAGCTACTACACACCCCAGCATCCGCCTCGAGTAATTTCCAGAAATACAGAAAACCGAAATCCAGATGGTTGGACCGGGAATTCGAACCCAGATCCACCCGAGCACCATTTTGTTTGTGCATATTCAAATAAAACATCTAAAATGGCAGTTTTTGGTTACAGAGGCCAAAACTAAAGTGTCCATAGGCGTGCCTTAGTTCAGTACATCATGATTCCTTCTGTACTTCGCTGGAAACTTTTTATTATTTTGTCTAACATATGGCGAACGAACTATGTGACAATTACTTACCGAGATAACCCATTGCCATACTTTCCTCTAGAGATGCATTCTAGTCATTTCTAAAGGTGATCATGTATGTTTAAAATATACCTTAAAAGAGAATTTTCGCCATATTTGATAATAATTAGATGAGTAGTTACTGAGATCTAATGTAAGCTTGGAAAATTAAATTTTAATGTCAGTGCCATCGAAAAACGTGGACGATTGAAGCTCATATTATAAATGTATGGTTCACAGTATATACATTAGCACATTAGATTTGAACTGAATGAGTTTAATGGTAGGTACCAGAGATTGAAACAAATGTTTGGATGGCTCTCCATACTATTGTTTACATGAAAATGTGATGAGAATTGGTTAAGGGGGTTCGAGAGACTAAAATTACATTATATATGTTAGCATATTACACTAAAGGAATAGCATTGAGAAAAAAAACGTAATAAACATTGTTACAGCGCAAACTGTTCGTGTGTGGAGGACACTCTGATCACAAGTTTGAGCGCGCCTCTCTGCTGTACCTGTCTGCAGAAACCAGACCAAGTGTCTTAACGCAGGTCGTCTGACAACACTTGAGTGCTGTTGGCTATGCAATTCCATTATATGTGTACAACAGCGTGTGTATGCAACGCGTGGAAGACGACAGCGAGCATCT